TACTACACTTTAATACTTTTTTTGGTTCCTGGGTTCTTATTATATCAGCTTATACCTAAAATGTCTATAACTTTTTCTGGTGTGTACTCAAAACCAGGGTTTGCCTTCTGGGGGATCAGCATGTTCCGGGATACTGGGTTCTAGTCTGCGGTGGTCCTGGGTCTTGGATTGAGCAAGCGGTAAGGAGGGGCTATCTGAGGGCTTGAGCTCTAATATAGGGGCCTAAATAATTACCAATATTATGGTTCCATATTCCTTGTATGATTATAGTATATGGTACCTATGGGCCCTCAAAATGATATTGGTAATTATCTAGGCCCCTGTAGTACCATCATGAGCAGAAATTGTGCAATTGAGATGACATTGCAATCCTATTACTTCTAGATTCATCCTCCATTGCCCTACCTGAATCCCAGACCGCAACCAAAAGTGGGCAGCTTTTGAGCAGGACTTTCCGAGATCATCGCTTCAAGCGATCCTCGTGATGATGTCCGGCCAACAGGTGCCCTGGAATAGGGTTTAGGGTTTAGGGTATGGTACCCTCTACTCTTACCTGAAGATGCCTTGTGCCATGTGGGTGCTTGGTCCCCGTGGGCTAACCCTACACCCTAATTTTTTTCGGCGCAGGCTTTGAAAGGGCGGCAAGGCGAGCGCTTCAATGGCCCACTGGAGGGACCCGGAGGCTAGACAAGGTCGCTGGGATGGCTACAGACTGGAGATCAGTGGGCTGCAATGCTTTACAACGCAGTTGGTTGTTGCTGGCTTCTTTCTGGGTGGACCGACGCCCTCCAAGATCCGCATGCTCCGCCAAGGCGCCATGCATGCGTCGACTACGATCAGCAGCCTGGTTTCCTTTGAGCGGCAGGAGGACCAGCTGCAAGGGCACCAGATGGTGCTGGCATGGGGCTACAAGTGCCGTTGTCTGGCCCCTGCGTAGCAGTGTCCCGACAAGGGTTCTCAGTAGATTTTGCCATGGCTAGCTAACTTATATGTAGCTGCCATGAACTTCAAAGGAATCCAAGACGCACACTTGGAGGGTCAAAGGAATCCAAGACGCACACTTGGAGGGTCAGGGAGACTTAGTAAGTGGGTTACTGGGAATTCTAAACCCTCAACCCACCCTAATGCCTGTGTGGGGTCTGTACGTGGCTGCTAAGGGTTATAAGTACACTATGACTGCATTCCCCTAAGACTTTAAGTCCACCTGATCCTAAACCCGAAACCCTGAACCCTATAGACCCTAATTCCTGAACCCTAAACCCTGAACCTTAAACCCTAATTCCTGAATCCGAAGCCCTAAACCCTGGATGCTGAACCTTAAAGCCTAGTCCTGAACCCTAAACCCTGGATCCTAAACCCAAAGCCCTAGAGCCCGCGTCATCCCTGAAGTCTGCAGACCGACAGAACTCGCTTGGAGAACAGGGTTTAGGGGTTTAGGAGTTTAGGGGTTTAGGGTTTAGGGGTTTAGGGGTGTAGGGGTTTAGGGTTTGGGGGTTTAGGGTCCAGGGTGGTCACGTAGGCACATGAATTACCCTCAGGGTCCAAGGACCCAAATATTAGGGCTTTGCATCCCGAATACCGTTCACATTATAGCATTTGGGCTCTAATACCCCATAATCTGAGTCCTTGGACCCTTAGGGTCATAATTTGAATAGAGTTTCGCGGCACGCGGCTTAGGCTTTGGGTTTAGAGTTTAGGGCTTGGATTGGCGTTGGCTTGTCACAGTATGTACCAGTAGACGCACACAAGGATTGCGACTTGGGTCAGGGTTAGGGGTTTATGTTTAGGGTTTCTACACCCAGTTATTGTGGGTTTTTCTAGCATATATATATATATGTCAAGGCTCTACTAGCTCCATTTTCAGGGGGTATTACTTTAGGGGGAACTGACCTCACGTGGGTCTAGTGGTGCTACATGGGGTAATCTGTTTTGTTCCCATTACGGCCAATGCTGACCTTGCAGCAGCCTTGCCAAAGTAGCTTCAAGGCCCTGACTGAGCCTGTGGCCCCTGAAACTAGTGTGGAAGCCTGAACAACTACCTATATTTTGTAGTCCTAGGTTCCTTGTATGTTTATAGTATAGGACCTCCTCAAACGGACCTCAGATTGTGATATTGGTAGTTGCTTCGACCCTTGCAGTACACAGGCTATTTCCCGGCTCTAGACTCTAAACCCGAACAACCCGAACACCTCCTCAGTCGGTGATGCTGGCGGATGTTGCCTGCGAAACTCCGCTGCACTTCCAGGACGAGAGTCACATGGTGGGTTTCTGGGTTCCCTAGTAGGCTCATCTAGCCTTTTGCTGGGTCATTGGTTCCTTGGTGACCAGGTCTTTACCCAAATGACCCTGGATGCTTTGTTCATCCCGTCTTTTTGTTCCATGATAGCCCCCGACCCTTCACCACGAAACCCAAACATCATCAGCGGATGCCGGCATATGGGTGCAAACATGTCATCAATACCGATGGGATGACCATTCATTCGGTAGCAGGGGCAATATGCGTGTCAGTACAGCTAGTTCTGGCAGCAGGCATTTGATGAACGGTGACGGTTGCAGGAGTCGTACGAAATACCTTTTTATATACTGGTATAGCGGTCATACTGATTCTGGGCTCCAGAACAAAATTCAATTTTATGGATACCTGGCCCAATATCAATAAACAAAAAGATCTTTTCTATGTGTATTTCAACAAGAACTCAAAAAATCGAAGGCCAGTTGGGAAGCAAATTTCCTTTTTGTAGAGGCCCTTTTTGGCGGCTTCTTTGACTCGGAAGGCGCGCATTCACAGTGATCAGCATACTGGGCAGGACAGCAACATCGACAAGAGCTATGAGTGGAACGAGTGGAAGCTCCGCCAGGAGGCAATGCACGTAAACCCTAAGCCCCAAACCTGTGAACCACAGGAACTCTGTCCTGGGCCACCTCCCTTCACAACAATGCAACTGTCCTTCAATTGGTTTTATGACTCTCCGTACATGGTGTTAGAACTGTCCCTGTAAGTTTCATTGTCCGGAATGTAGGGCTTAGCAGGTCCATTTGATGGATCCGTGTAGGGCTTAAAGCGCGTCCCCCGAGACCTTGGATCAGCAACACGAGAAGCTATGAATTAGGCAGATGTACACTAATCGTAGTCTAACTCTGTATTGGGCTTCATCGCATCTTCATTCAAATATCTGCCTTTTGCCCATATAATCCCAGCCTGCATGTGATTTTCCATGTGTTGCTAATTCAGGGTGTTTGTCAGTTTGCACGGGTTGTGAGGCGGTACAGGGATCGTGAAAGGATCTAGAGGTAGTTGCAGAGACAATGGGACTTAAAGAGGGTTTTTCATTGGCTGATGGTTACACGGCAGCTTGCAACATTAGAGATCGCATGTGCCACATGCTGCCGTTTTGTGTATGTAGGGAGTCGCCCACAAGCAATAAACGGCCTACTCAGCCCTAGTAGCCCTGAACTATTTCTCGGTAAAATCGGGCGCTGCCATAATTATTTGGGAGGCCACTGGGGAGGAGCTTGTTGTAAATTAGGTTACAAGTGGGTGACTATAGGACTAGTCTGGCTACAAGTCCACCCGAGGGTAGTTACTTGTTTAGGGTTTATGAGCATGGTTTTGTGGCTAGGGTGTGTCCCTTACTGGGAATGCACCGGCCAATTCGGGGACCCAATACTAACAGTCTTTACAGTAACCCTGAACCCTATATACAAACCCTAGATTGTTTGCAGGCCCTCCACGTCGCAGACATCCGGCGGAAGACGACTTCAACCACGCAGACGGCGAACTGGCCTGCATGTGTTGGTTCCGTTTAGCTTTAGGGTTCGGGCTTTGGGGTTTAGGGTTGAGGGTTCAGAATTCAGGGTTTAGGGTTTATAGGGTTAGGGTCTAGGATTTAGGAAAAGGTTTAGGGTTTGGAGTTTGGGGTTTAGGGTTGGTTTTGAGGGTGTTCTAGTCTCTTTCGGAGTTTGGGTTGCAAGTTGTTTTGTGTTTCAAGGACCCGGCTCCGACGTGAGCTTTCCGCTTGTTCATGCCAAGTCCTAGCTAGGCTAAACTATGAGCTCCGGAATCGGAATGGTCCCCAAGCCCTACCTGGGCCCCCAGGGTAGGTAGAATAATAACCCAAGACCCCTAGATACAGCCCAAAAGGCTTTCTGCATACTTTTGGGGGTTCAGGTAGGCCCCTTGCACTTCGGCTGTGGGCCCGCAACTCTGTAGATCCAGATTTCCGAAAAGACTGAGCCACTGGACAACTTCAGGCACTGAGCCACATTCGACGGGAGAACGAGACGCAAGTCTACTTGCCGAAGGACCGCTTTTCATCTTAGGGGTACTTGGCAATATGTTTTTTTTGCTTTTTATAATCCTAAGGAACAGCAAGAATTATGATTTTTACTAGGGTTCCAAGTTCACCATAGTCATCAGGATAAGCTACCAGCCCTTCCCCTCATACTATGCCCTCCTCCTCTTTTCCGAGTAATCCCCAACATAGTAGCAGTATACATTTGGCGGTAGTATCCATCAGTGGGGCAAGGGGGTTGATAATTACTTAGGGACACTTTGAAATCAGGTTTTTCCTTTTGATTCTTACAACCCTAAGAACCAGCAATAACTAAAGTTTTGATAAGGCTCCAAGTTCAGCTAGGTTTGGGGGAGGTGATAACTGATGGACTTTCGTAGAATCGGCGGCAAGGTAGTTGCCAGTCCCTATACTAAGGATTGCTTTTTTGGTTTCAGAGGGTGGGGGGTGGGATAGCAGAGATCTCGGCACCCCAGCGGTACCCTTTTCCCATTTTTGTTTTTACGTCTCCTTGATTACTAAAGCTGAACGTTAGGAGGAAAGGGTAACCTTAGTATTAAGTGGTTACTGGAGAACCCAGATATACATCTGGACGTGTCTGGCAGCCATTCCGGAGTCATGTAAAGGCTCTCAGTCACCATAAGCTACGACCCTGACCTACCTTAAACGCAAATAAACCCTAGGCCGTAAACCCACCTTAAACCCTGAAACCTAAACCCAAAGCCCAAACGCTAAGCTGGATGACGTTCTGTTGGGGATGATCCCAGGGCGGTGCCCGGATAGACAGGTGCAGCGTCGAAGCCACTGAGACTCTAAGCCCCAGACCACATCAGGACCCCCCACCCCCCGGAAAAAGGGTTGATGCAGGTTCCATTTTTGAGCCTTAAAGAGGATACTTGGGGGGCCTAGGTGAATCCCAATCTCTTCCATTTACCTACAGTTTGGTAGTATTTGCCACCTAGTGAGTAGGTAGAACTGATGGGCCTATAGGCAAAAGGAGCCATAAGAAAACCCTAAAACCCTGATGAGGTGGCACTTTCCGATAATGAGCCATTTCCCCTGTTGTTGTATACGGGAACCTATTCACAGATAATTTTGGTGGCCTTTACAGTGTTACACCAAACCCTAAATCCCAAACAACAGACCTTAAACACCATACCCTAAACTCTAAACTCAAGCCTTTAAACCATACACCCCAAACCCTAAACCCCAAATGCCTCAACACCAAACAACAAACCCTGAACTCTAAACCCCAGACCTTAAGCCCTAAACCCTGTTTTGTTCCGCGTCTCAACCTTTCTCCTCTGGCAAGCAGGAGATGGCGACCAACACCACTGCCAGTCGCGGAACCAACCCACCCAGGCCTGAAGACAGGGGTATTTCTTGTTTAGCGTTTGTTGTTTGTCTAGAGTTTATATAAAGATTATAGGGTGTAACGGCTTGGGGTATCGGGTTTGAGGGTGTAGGGTTTAGGGTTGGTAGGGGTTAAGGGGTTGAGGGTTTAGGGTACTACTCGAAGGTTCATGGAACTTCGTCACTACTATGGTGATAAACAAATTTGTGAGTTGCTCAGTTGCAAGCCCATGATTTGGGGTTTAGTTTTTCAACTCGGTGACGAAAGGCTTGAGGTTCAGGGTTGTAAAGGGGGAGCATGGGAGGAAGCATCGGTATTGTTAGAGGGCTTTGGCGATCTCATTTAGGGTAGAGGAACGAGGGTTTGCGATAAACCCTAAACCCTAGCGCTTTGAACTTAGGGCTTCTCCGGGGATCTTTGAGGAGCATGTCATTGCGGTTCTAGATGACTTTTTGTCCTAGGCCTTCCGTAACCTTTTCATAGGCATTAGGGTTTTGGGTTTAGGGTCTACGCAGAAGACATGACGCGCAGGAAGGGATAGTTCGGCCCAAGAATTATTGTTACACGTTTGTTGGTTTCAAAATGTGTTACATTGACAGCTTGAAAGAACCATAATGCAGGTTCAGCTCGCTGACCAACGACCTTATCGAAATCATAAGCAAACAGCTACATAATCAGTAAAGCGGCCTTAGGAACTGCCATGCATCTGTTTTGCACAGAGTTCACCAATGTTTTGCTTAAATTCAATCCAGGTGTTGCTTTAATGCTATTAAGAGTTCTCTGTGACTTGGACGACTCTTCCTCGGCTAAAAAAGCCACTAAGTTGCAACTCTCCTGAATAAAGGTGCAACCCTGAGAGCTACTGGGGACCCACCGTTTGGAATCCTCAGCCCTGGGCCCTGGGCCCTGTAGATCCTGGCTTAGGGTTCAGGATTTAGGGAACTCTACATCCTCAACCCTGTAAACCTTACTGTAAACCTAAATCCTAACTCCTAGGCCCTTCAAACTTTGATCAGCCCTGTAGACCCTAACCCTTCCCAACCCCTAATACCTAGGTACCCCAGTAGTATCCTTCTTCCCTTTGTATTTCGGGGTGTAATTAGGAAAAAGAGGCGCCACCCTGAATCCCAAACCCTAAACCCTAAATCCTAAACTTAAACCCCAAACTCTAAAGCCCAAAACCCTAAACCCTACTCAACCCCCTAAGACTGAGCCTGGGAGGTTGAAGAAGTACTACACTGGGCTGCGGGGGGAGCCACGTCAGATGCAGGTCGCATGCTTTTAGGGGCTTAGGGGTTTAGGATTTAGGATTTAGGGTTCAGGGTTTGGGGTTTAGGGTTCGGGGGCTTTGGGATGTTTAGATTATAGCTTCTCCTGCGCCGCGGGACGCCGGGGACGCCAGGGATGCTGGGGACGCTGTGGACGCCGAGGACGCGGGTACGCCGGTGACGTCGGGATGCCAGGGACGCCAGGGACGCCAGGGACGCCGGCTGGGGACGCTGGGGACGCTGGCTCGGCATGCCGGCCATTGAGGGGTGGGGGCAGAAAATACGCGCATGTCAAGGTTGCGACGCGTTGAAGTGCTTTCAGTTTACAAGTCAGACTTTACGGGCTCATAGATTTGGAAGGGTGCTCTTGGAGCACCTGCAATGATCTTGCAGCGAGTGCTCTGGGAGCGCACACCGTGCGGCGACACTCGCCGCTTGAAGCCTGAAGATGCCCGAGCTTCTTGAGTGGCAAAGAACGTTATGGAGTCCAGGTAAAGCTGGCAGGTCACGTGGTTCTAGGGGAAGGGGGAGGTCACAGGCAGGGTCGCTGGGGGTGTTTTTTTCAGGTCCCTAAAACGGTTTAGGTCTCCCGTACGACGACGACGACAACGACGACGAGCACGACCACGACGACGACGAAGCCCGAAGGGGGGCAAGACTGAGCGTCCACGGCGTCCTGCGCTGGAGGAGAAGAATTAAAATTGTAGGGGTGTGGAGCTGTAGATCCTTCTACCGTGCTGGGACATGAAGCCTGCACCGTATCGCATCGAAAGCGCTAGGCGCCTTGAATTTCGTACAATGGTTCAACCGTTTTGGTTTTCGTCTGTTCTACATATTTTCGCACTCTAGAGAGTTGATGTGGCAAATCCTGCGGCGCCACTCAGAATAGGCTCCAGGGCATGGGGTATACGAGTTGGTGGCAGGTTACTTCTGTCCGCAACATCTATGTATGGCAGTCGTGTTTTGAATTTGAAGACTTGTGCAGTGACCTGGCCACCCGGGTTCGGGGCATTGTGAGGACAGGATGAGGAGTCAGAAGCTATGTAGCTGTGTTCAGTCGGCACGGAACAGTGTAAAACACCCAGGAAGCACGCGAGAAAGTAGTTCTGAGGCACTTCTCTTCTTTTTTTTCTCTTTTCCCCCCCC